GTCTATAGTCTGGCTGCGAGGAGGAAAGAGCAGCCCGTAGAGAAACAGGGAAGAAAAGAGCCTAGGGAAGAAAAGATGCTGAGCTGAGTGTGAGAACATACCCAGTGAGGCCACAAGTGCAAAATTCTCCAACATCACAGTACAGGAGTCTCTGAGACCCATCAAGAACTTCCCACTCCTCCCGAGACATGTTCACAGACACGTGCTCAAAGGTTACACCGCCCTACCATGATGGGGAGGGCAGTGTCCCTCAGCAGCCTCTCTCACCAGGACCCTCAGGTTCATCCCCCAAACATCCACTCCCTGCCCACTCACCTCTCCAGCTCCAGAATAGGATATACGAGGCCCAGAAGCCACTGGTGCCAGCACTCTCCTCTTTCCTATTGATCACTGGGCCACCCCACATCAACTACAGGCATTTGGGCAAATAAATGCCATCCACACACTGGGCGTGGCATGAAAGGCTCCACCTCCTCTTGCAGCGAGTTCCCCAGGGGTTCCCAGATCATGCCTCTCAGACACAAACATGGGCTCAGTTTTCTCCTGCTGGGAGCAGGTCCCTGGGACCTTCAGTTCACACATCACTCCATAGCCACACCTCCTCCACGACTCCGAACGCTCCCACCCCAGCCACTGCTACCTCCTCCACCTCAGCCCACACCAAAGGCATCTCCCTGGCCTCCACATGCCACTCTGCACATGTTTCCCAGAGAGTGCTTGGCAAATGCAGTCAGGATTCCATCCTGGCCCGGACCTCTGATGGCCCACACTGACAGGGAAAGCCCCTACTCTTGCTTCAAAGGCCTCTCCATCATGCTCCTTCCTTGCTTCAGCCTCAGCCACCAGAATCATGTGCAGGTGTCATATATTAAAGCCCACTTTACTGCTGTGTTACGCCCATGCTGTCCCATCACCAGTCCTGGCCTTCCTCTTTCCACCCAGGACTCATTCAACACCTAGCACTGGGCCCAGCTACTCTCCCAGCTGACCCATTTGCTCTGAGCTTCTCTGCCAACCTAAACATTGGCCTCTCACCTCCATTACTGCTCTGCTTCCACATCCATCTTATGTGCACCCCTCCCTTGGAAGACTTAGTCTCCTACCAGACCCACCCACCCCCCCCAGCAACTACCTTCCCTCATCTGCCTGTGTGATGCTCACTAACCCCAGTCAGGTGCTCAAGAGAGAGGTCCAGCATCCACTTTTTCTAAAAAACCTTAAGACCCCAACCCGAAGATGGGCTCACAGTCCTTAAGGCATTAGCCTGCTGTGACTCCCTTTGCCGGGCAAAGCAAAGCTGCTCTTTTCTTTGCTCCCAAGAAAAAAAAGAGACAGGGAGAGAGAGGCCTAATCCTCCGACCTGGCCCTCCCCTTCCTTGCCCCCTTACAACACTGTCACCATGACCTGAAGGCTCCCCCTCCTAAATGTGACTCACAGCTCCTCCCAGTCTACACACAGGCTTCAGGATTCGGAGGTGGGGGTCTGGGTAAGTGAGGGGCTAAGACATATAGCATCAACCTGCTCTGGGTCCCACAGCAGGACCGCCCGAGAACCTGTGGCGGAGCGAGGCCCAGAAACGCTGGCGACCAAGCCGGGTGCCGTGGGCTCAGACAAACCCCCGACCTCGGCCTACCCGCCTCGCGCAGTCACCCGGGGCAGCGCCCTCTCCGAGCCACCGACCCGCCTTTATGCGCTGTGGACAACGTCTCCTCGCGCCCCTTCCCGCCTACCTTTCCTCGGGCCAGACCAACAGTTCAGAACAGGATCAAACAAACCGATTCAACCATCACCAAAATGACCGCCGATAGGAGAACGCCGGAAGTCCCGCCTTGACAGGTTCCGCAAAGTACGAGGGCGTCTTTCTCCTCGGCCTTTATTGGCCCAGCGCCGCAGACGCGCAGCGCAGAGGCACATGGGTAATGTAGTTCCCGCCGGGCCACGTACCTTGACAACGGGCGCCCTCTCGAGAAATCCGGGCACGGGCCAAGGTTCCCCAGGAGAGGGGCTCAGAAGTAGTGCCTAGAAGTTCCCATGAAGAGATGGGGTCTCGCTCCTTTTAAAGGGGCCCACGAAGATTTCCGTGGCGTGTAGCCTGCAACGGATTACAGAAATATTTAGAGACATTTTATTCAGATGCTTCCCACAGCTACAAAATTTATAAACACGTGAAACATTTTTAGTTCGATACGCACTGTATCCACCTGTTACCTGGAAGCTAGTAAGTATTATCTTATTCTCTTCAAATGCATGTGGGCTGAAGTCAATTTTGTAGACTACAGTATGTTCGCGCAATGACAAGAGAGAAAAAACTCCAAACGGGGTCATAATGGGGAAGATGAGAGAGGGATGTCGGGTGAGCTGAGTATGGAGCCCTCCTGCAATTCCCACAGCAAGCACGCCTGTCTTTGTAGTCAGTGATTGTGCTCACCCCATGAGTGTAACCAGAGGAAGCCGGTAATGAACCCAAGTTCGGCTACTTGCTGCTGAAAAGTCCAATACCTGAGAAACGAGTGTTGGTGAAAAGGGAAAAGCAGCTTTATCCAGGAGGCCAGCAACCTGGGAAAATGATGGACTAATGTCCTACGACCATCCCCAAGGTGCAGTTAGGGGACAAAATTTTTAAAGGCAGTGTGAGGGAGGGGACTGCAGGGTGGTGAACAGCACCTGCACAATTCTCAGAATGGTTAGCATCAAGGTGAAGTTTTGAGCATCACCCATCTTCTGGTTTCAACTGGTCTGGGGGTCTGCCTGCTTATAGTCAGCAGTTTTCATCTGGTGGGGATTTGCCTTCTATAAAAACAACTTAGGAATGTGTGTCAGACCTTCATCAGTATCTATCAGAGAACTGGGAGTTCAGTGACTATGCTATGTGGCTGGTTTAGGGTATAAATTTCTTTCACAGCTATTCTTGCTTATTTTCCAAATACAACACAAATGGCATACAAATAAACCATATAACTGTAATCTTTTGAGTCCAGCTTCTTTACTCATTATAATATTTTTCAGATTCTTTCATGTTGTTGCATGTGCCAATAGTTTGTTCCTTTTTATTGCTGAGTAGCTTTCAGTTGTAGGAATGTGACATGTCTGGTTGATCTATTCACTAGTTGAAGGACACTTAGGTTTTTACCAGTTTTAATAAACAAATCTGAATAAAGCTGCTATAAACACTGGCAGGCAGGTTTTTATGTGAGGATAAATTGTCGTTTCTTTTGAGTGTAAACCTAGGAGAAGGACTTCTGGTCATATGATAAGAAAAGATCAGTTTTATAAGAATAAAGTACATTTTTTCTTCAAAAAACTCCTGTTATTTAAATTAAGATTACATTAAACTGACTTCTATTTTTAGGGGGAAATGACATTTTTGTTCTGGTGAAAATTCCCTTTCATGGTCTTTTCATTTATTTAAATTCATTGAAACTATGGCAATTAACTCATTAATCTACACTATTCCATTGGAAAAGGCTTGGCAGGTCCATCCTGATTTTTTTTTTAACGTTTGGCTGTTTTTCTCAGTGCCATTTCAAAAGATAATCCATTCTTTCCTCATGATTCAGTGAGCTGTGATTATTATATCTTAAATATCTTCCAAAACCTATGTGTTTTCTTTTCTGTGACAATGACGGTCTCTCTATTCTTCCACTAAAACGATACTGTTTATTAGCTGTAGACCTACACCTATGTTGCAATACCTGGTGAGAAAGAGCCGCCTCATAGTTCCTGTGTTTCTAAACTTTCTTGGTTGATTTCAGGCATTTATTTGGGGCGGAAAGACTTTGAGTCAGTCTTCATTAGGACAAAGGTTAATTTCAATGGATTTGGGAATAGCTGATGTTTCTACAAGGTCAGTTCATACAAGAAATGATTTAGCTCTTTATCAGTTCAAATTTTATTTTGTACCTTTCAATAAAATTTCAGAACTTTTTAGTATGACCTGAACACTTAATACTAAGTCTAGCAGAGTGTCCAGCACTTGGTAGATGTAAAATCAAGCGTAGAATGAGCAAACAGGTGAATTAAAGAGCTTAAGTTCAGCTGGCAGGTCAAAGAAGAGCAGGGACTCAGGGCCGGCCACTTAGCCCCAAGTCCCAAGTTCACCTCCCTGTATGTGACCTTATTATGCCTGCCTGGCCCAAAAGGTAAAGAGGTTATACCAGTTATGCCACAATTTCTGTGGGTCATACTCACAGTAACCTGACACTGCTCTACTCTCTAGAAAACAGATGTAAAACCTAGTCCCCCACCCGGTAGCTTCACAAGACTCCTACTAGCAATGCAATTACCCGTGTGACGCTTTTGGAAGAGGGCTCAGAGTGTTTGCGACACTTATCCTGTGTGGTACATCCTGCAAGTAAGACTTTAGAGCCTGAGCTCTTTCCATGGCAATACATTCCCTCTGGGTTAGCTTCTTCCATCCGCTCCCTTTCTCCTTTCCTCCTGGGCCAACATGGTGTGGGGGTCCTGGTTCCAGTGGTAGAACCTAAAGACAGCAGAGGTACTCAGTGTCCCTGAAGAAAGGTCGGCCTCCTCAGAAGGCATCCGTCTAAGAAGAAGAACATGGCGAATGCCACTGGGAAAAAGAAAGGACGTGTGATAAGCCCACTCGTCATCTCCTGAGTCACCTTTCAATTACGAGAGTGACATGTAAAGGACCAGAGGCTCTGGTTAAAGCCAGAGTCAGACATACGCTACTGTGGCTGGGACAACACTTCGAGCCTTCCAGGCTGGTGAAGTCAGGGGTTCAATTTTTGTTACTTAACTTAATCCTCACACACAGTCCCGGTTTTACTGATGAGAGAACAGGCTGAGAACGATAAAAGACTTGCCAGTGGTCTTGCAACTTGTCAGGGACAGGGCCTAGATTTACCTTTGTTCCGTTGACTCCGGTCCACATGCTCTCAATGACCATACGTGTCACATCTCCTCACCATCTCCCAAGGCCTCCTGCAGCCTCACATGCTCCCCGCACAGCACACAGACACGAGGCACATTGGGCAAAGCTGCAGGTATTTTATTAGAGTCAGCCTGATAGAGACCACATCAGGTGTGGACAGGTGTCTGGATTCCAGCTTCAGTTGAGAAGGAGAAAAGGACGGGAAAATTGAGTGCAGACCAGGCCTCACTGGCAAAGATTATCTCCCGAAAGGGATCACTTGGGAAATGTTTCCTTGAAAAACCTCCTTCAAGTCTTCCCCTGCATAGGTGGTGCAGTCACTGCTGAAGGTGATGGAACCCTGGGAGGGAGCAGGATGAGGAGGGACAGGACCTGAGCCCACAGCACGGCTCTCCTGTCTCCCCAGGATCACCTCACTGCTCATCCTCAGTGATTCAGCTCCATCCCCAGCAAGACCCTCCGGCCCACAGGCCCACCCCTGGACAGGGGGCTGCCATCAGGCCGGCTGGAAGGAGCACGGCTCCCTAATCGTCTGTGCTCAGTTGTCAGGAGAGAGCTAAATAACCAGCCGTGCCAGGGAGGGGAGGAGATGGAAGGTTCTGGAGGGCATGGTGAAGGGCAGAGTCTGGGTTTCTCCTGTCCCTGAGCCCCTTCTGACAGGTGTATTGGGTGTACGGAATGCACATGCATTGTTATAAACAGTCTTGTGTGCCCTGTGTGCTCATATTACTGCAAGAAATTCTGCTTCTTGGAAAACCTCTCATTTTGCAGAATCAGCACTTTGGGGAAAATAAGGTAAGAAACAGACTATGCAAAATATAAAATACTGTGTGACAAGAACAATTTTTAAAAAGATAGTTCATCAGGAGATACATTGGCTAGTCCTGGTGAGCAGATGCTTGCAGCTAGAGACTGCCCAGGGTCCTCAGGCACTAAAACAACAGAGTGGAAGTTCTGGCTTGTAGGCACTGAGACAGTGTAGGTGAAATGGGGCTCTGAGCCAGGGGACCAGCCATCAAAGTGGGCACAGGAGGAACTGAAGCTGGCCATGAGCCAGAACCTTACAAAGCCAGGGTGTCCCTTCCTGGGAAGAGAGTCTAAAGGCAGGGGCTCATTTTCAATATTCCTAAAACAGAATGGACAGGATTCTTATACATGCAGGAGCTGAATTCTTTCTTTCCTGCCAAAGATTAAAATTCTACCGCAGCGCTAGCTCCTCTAACCTAGGGAAAAAAATCACATGAGTTATTCAACACACTTTCCACGTTGCATTGATATTAGTCCCCTATTTTCCAATTGTGTGTGAGCTCATTGGCAAGACAGGTACATATTCTGTAGCAGCAGAGGCTAGATGTGCAGGTGGAATGTGGTTGCAATATTATATGTGCTGTAATGGAGCAAAGGTTTATGGGCTTCATCCTTTGTAGCTCTTGTCTGTCATGAATCCCATGACTCCGTGGTCAATTACTGTGTGACATATTGCAGTATGCGGCATGTATGTCATTAGGGTAGGGGTTGGGGGACAGTAAATTACCATGAGGAGCAGATCCAAGAACTTGGAGGTAAGTCCCGCCTCATTGTAGCAATCCTGGATTTTCCCAAAGGCTGCTTTTTCCGGTTCAGTAGCATTGACCTGATCGAGGGACTTGTCCAACAGTGTCCTTCTTCCAAGGGCCACTGTGCCAAAGATTTCATAAAAAATAGGGCAAGCTTCCACTGAAGAAAAAGACAAAGAACATCTCATTAAAGGAATCAGCAGAGTAGAACGTCCCTGTTTACCCATCACTTGATAGTAACTTACATATATCCAGTGCCTCCAGACTCACCTTCCACAGAGACCCTCCCTCTCCCAGGACTGCTTACAAACCAGACAGAAAACATTCTCTATGAGGCACTCCCAGCAGGAGGGAGCAGTGTGAGGACCCAGGTGTACCAGCCCGCCTGCTTCTTCCTTTCAACTAATGTGTGCACAACTAATGACCCTTCCAGCTCCGAACCTTTCCCTCCACTCAAAGACTGAGGGCTCGGGGAGTTTCTGCAGGGCTCCTGGACACTAATCTGCCTGCCACCCCCTACTTCTGTCCATCGAAGCTGCTTGGAGATGGCTACAGAAGGATGGAGTGAGATGGGGGGCACAGACCAGGAAGGACACCTGCTCCCTCCTTCCTACTCTCACCCATCTCGAAGGCCAGCTCTCTGGTCACCAGCAAGGCCAGCACAAACAGTGGTCCCTTCATCATGGCAGCTGCTGGAATGCTCTCCTCAGGGAAGGGTTTCTGCTGCTTTATAAACTACTAGCTCCCTGAGCCCAGCCCTCACCCCTCCCGGGAGCTCCAAAGGCCTGTGGGGAGGGACCTGGCACGAGTGGCCCCCCCCCAGCACTTGAGGTGTGCAGTGTAAGAAGCCCAGCAGAGCTCCTGGAGATGTGGTAGCATCCTTGCCAACTGGAGCTGACATTTCTCAGTGACTCCTTTCTGAGCCAAATGCTCTGTTGTCCCAGCCTCAGCCATCACCTGTGTTTCCTTGTCTTCCTTCCCCCAACTCATCCTGGCTCCAAGGGCAATACTTTCCCAAATATGGAGATGAAATCACAGGACGGGTCAAGGACAGGGCGTCACTACTACAGGTAGACAGAAGATCATCCAGAAACCTTACTTCTGCCCAAGTTTAGGTCCTGGAGATAAGAATGGGGAGCAGGGCCTGGCGGAAGTCCCTGAACATCTCAACTGCTGCAGTGTCTGGACTGGGCCCCCAGGACACGTGGACGCCCGCCTTGGGCTCTGAATGATTCCCTGCCAGGGAAGTCGCAGGGCTTGTATCCATGGGCTTTTCTCAGGGGCTAGTGATTCTGCAATTTGGGATCTTAGCACCAGCTTCCCTCTCACTCTAAGGGAGCCAATTCCTGGCCACCTTCTTGACTCACAGCGGCCCCACCTTGGCCCTTCTCCTGGATGTCTCACCCTCCTGCTTCAGTGAACCTGGCCCCAAGAGATGCTTGGACTGCATCAAAAACATCAGTGAGCAGTTGTAGCTTGTGTGGTCTGTCTCCTGAGTCAGGGACACTGAGGTCCACAGCCCTGCAGGCTACTGTGGACTGGGGTTCTACAGACCAGAGGGCTGGGTCAGCCAGAGGTGGCACCCCACCTGCTTAAGACTCTCTCAAGAGTCAAGCTCAACGTTTCCTCCAGCAAAGCAGCCTGTTGGCACAAAGAAGATGAGATAGTCCATGAAACTTGAGCAGAAGGAAGCCCAGGAAAGCTCCCAATGGCAAAATCAGAAACAGTTTGATCAACAAAATGAATGACATACTATTAGGTGATAACACGAGGTATAAAATAATATGCGTGAGTCCATACTGACATAAATAAATGATTTAATAGATGAATTAACTAATGGGGGAGAAAGACAAATATTCCTCACAGAAACACCCCAAATAATATATGTAGATACACCACCTCCAGGAGGCGGACCTTACTGCCCTGCCCTCCTTGAGAATGGGCTAGGCTAAGTTACTCATTTCCAAAGAAGAGGGTAGGGAGAGGGGAAAACAGTGCAGAAACTTGGTAGACACACGAATCAATTAATCGAGGTTAACAGAATTAGCGGTAAGACATACCGTTGTCATGTATACCCTCCTGGGAGGTGACTCTCCACCTCTGGCGTGTGCCCCTCAACCCACAGTCTGAGTCCTGGTCTAATTTATGAGAACAACAGCAAACTCAGCTTGGGGACTTTCTGTAACACCTGGCCAGTCCTCCTCAAGACCGCCAAGAGCTTGACAAAGAAACATGAACAACTGTCACAGACCGAAGGAGACCGGGGAGACATGGCAATGACTGCAGTGTGTCTAGGCTGCGGGCTGGATCCCGGAACACAAAGGGAACGTCAATCGACAAACTGGTGAAATCCAAACCAAGTCTGGCATACGGTTAATAGGAAGGTACTAATGCCAGTTTCTTGGTTTTGGCAAATCTTTGCAACGTTTCTGTAAATCTAAAATTCTCCCCAAATAAAATTTGATTTAAAGAAAAGAACTTCCCTTAGGAAAGGACTGATTCCACTGCAGCTGCTGAGTGACCTCATCCAGCACCTCCCTCCAACCTAACCACGTGTGCGACCCCATGGGGATGTCTCAGATGGTCTTGTGGCACCCTCGGCAGGGCACTGGGCTGGATATCAGCGACCTGTGTTATCTCAGCGCTCCAAGCCCTGGCTTTGTCATCTCACAGAACTTGGGGGGGGGGGTGTCTTGTGAAGAACAGCAGGCATGTGACCTATGCCCAGGGGACCCACCACATTGAAATTCTGTCCCAGGTAGACAAAGAGCAAGCATGTCCTTCCTGGGGCATATGGCGTTCACTTTCCTGCCCAGGAACCTCTGAGGCACACCTGCAGTCACCTGGACCCCTCATGCGGTGACCTTCAGAGGTACAGCCCGCAGGCATCAGTAGCCATGGCAAGGAGAGGCTCCGCAGAGGCCAGCTGACAGCTGGAGCTCAGTACCTGGGGCCACTTTGCCAATAGCAGTTACCGGATGTGAATCCTATTTGGCATACGCTTCTGATTGTCATCACAAACCTGTGTCCCAACTTCAGCTCGGGGCTGCAGCCAACCTTCTCCCACAGATGGCTCAGAGAAAAGGTCAGTCAGGTGTCTCCAGCAAAAGCTACTTCATTCTGACTTATCTAAATATTTTTAAACTTTACCTTGTTTGTTTAATCCCAGGCAATATTCATAAGCATATGTATAGCAAGCAGAAGTACAGATGGTCTTGTTGATCAACTTCAGAAAAATGGGATATTCCTTCCATTCATCTAACAAACGCTGGTGGAGCGCCTACTGTGTGTTGGCCCCTGTCCCTAGCCCTGAGGAGGCGGCAGCACACACAGCAAAGTTCTTGCTCATGTGGAGCTCATTACACGTCTAAGAGGGAGTGAAAGGCAATCTGCCCACAACAAGAAGTGCTGTGGAGGAAGGTGAAGCTGGAGAAGAGAGGGCCGTGGGGGGAAGGAGGGAGGCAGCGCTCTTTGACATAAGGGGTCAAGAGTATGGGGAGATCTCTCTGACAGGTGATATGTGAAGAGACTTGAGGAATTAGGCGAGGAATCACGCAGCCACTTGGAGGAAGCGCACTGCAGGCAGGGAGGGCGGCACATGCAAAGGCCCTGCTGCAGGCGCATACTTGGCCTGGTCAAGAGGCAGAAAGGAGGCCAGTGAGGGAGGAGAGAACGCAGGGATAAATTCAGAGAAGCAGCAGGGGTGGGGGGCTGGTTGTGCAAATCTACCAGAAGTTCTGGGATTAGAAGGGGCTTGGCTTTTCCTTAGGCTGGAGCTCTGCACGGGGGATGGTGCGAACAGGCCAGAGACACTCAAAAGAAGAAGCAGGCTGGGGAAAATATTGTGTGTGCTGTCAAAGTAACCAGGTGTCAGGACTTGGACAACAGACAACTAGAATTTCTGGGCCAGCAGGTAGGGGGATTCAGGGCTCCAGAAACAGATTTAGGGGGTGGCTCAAGGGAGGCCACTGAGCAGATCAAGGACAAAGTGATGAAAGCGGGGCAGGGCGGGAGCCACAGGAGAGTCTGACCAGGGTTTCAGGGCTTGAGCGCTGCCTTTCCCTCGGCACTTACTAGCTGTGAGACCATTGGCTAAGCACTGACTTTCCTGAAAACTCCATGAAGTCAAGACCAGATTGTTTTCAAGGTCGCAGCCAATTGTGACAGGCTGGCACCGGCCATCACTCAGGAGGCCTCTTTTGGGAGTCTTTTGTCCCTTGTTTCAGTCAACCTGGGAAATTTCCGTTGCTGAGCCTCACCTGACCCTCGCATGGAGCCCTCAGGATGGGAAGGGAGGCTGAGCCGGTGCCCTTGTTGGCTCAAGGACTTAGCATCTCGCCAACACAGACAGCTCCTCCCTGCACGGCCCCAGGCAACTGCAAGCTCTGGCCTGGGCGATGCCTGGCAGTACCTCCAGGAAAAGGAAGCATCAGACACAGCCCCCCACCCCGCCCCCCCGGCCCCCACTGTGGAACCAAAGGCAGTTATAAAAGGGCCCCAGGTGGGGAGGGAACACCTGGTACCTGCACCATGAAGCCGGCTGGAGCTCTCCTGCTGCTCGGGGCTGCCTTGCTCCTGATCTTAGGCGGAAGTGGGCGGCGGGGACATGGGTTCCCCAAGGGTTCTGGCGCCTTCCCAGGGCAGCACGAGCATGTTGGGAGAGCAAAAGGGAAGAATGCGTTGTTTCTTTCAATGAAGTGTCACCTTATCTTTGTGTTTCAGATTGTGACATATGCCCAGCCGTGAAGGACGATGTCAACAGGTTCCTGGTTGGAACCCCTGAAGAATATATTGCAACAGTGAGACAGTACAACTCAGACAGCTTGATAGAGGCCAATGCTAGGAAGCTGAAGAGCTGCGTTGACGGGAAGCTGACAGAGGAGGATAAGCAGAATGCTCTCAACGCTCTGGTGGGTCCGGCTGTGTGTGTCTGTGCCTCTGGCGCCTGTCTGGGCGGGTCTGCTCAGGGCAGTGGGAGGTGCGGGAACTCATTTCCCTCTCCACCGTGGCCCTTCCCTGGGCATCTGGAAGGAGAAAGAACCTCATGAATGAGGGGGTAGAGAGGGTGGGGCAGACACCCACAATGCAGGAAAAAATCGGGATAATTCAGTCTAGTCCGTGAGCTCCTGAGCTGGCCCTGACTGCTCAGCTCTGCTGGGCCACAGGCCTGGGACACTCCAGGCCCTCCTGTCTCTGTGGCACCACCTGGCCTCGGTGTTAGGCCCATAGTTCTGGCCTCCCTGACTCCAGCCTCTCCAGCACATGAACCTGGATCTTCTGTAAACCTCTGGTACTGGGTACTTTCCTTCTTCAAACATCAGTTCCTTTACCTTAAAGCCACATGTCCCTTACTCCATTCCATCTAAAAACCACATTTGTCCTTATTCCCTGGACCTCAAAGGGCCATTCTGTGTCTTCCACAAGTGCTCTCCTGCTCTCCCCAGGCCTGGGATGCCCAGAGTGGAGGATCAGAGTGAATCCGCTCTCTGCTGCCCCAGGAGGTGGTGGGAACTAGCTGCTCTTTCAGGGCCAAGTGTCCAAGGGGCAGATGGAGGAGACAGACTGGGGTCAGCTCCCAGGTGCCCACTCCGGAGCCCTGCCAGGTCAACTTCAGCAGCCTCTCCCTGTTCTGTCCTAGGCTGCCCAAACCCCACCAGGGATACCCCTCTTCTCTCTGTTCCATGGGTGGAAGCTTCACTGGGAGGAATCCACCTTGACTTGCTCAGATCCAGAGGCCACCCTCCAAATAAGCCTGCGGGCCCCTCTGCAGGGAGTGCCTGGTGAGCATTCAGAGCAGCTCGATGTCTCTTGTACCCCTGAGGCCTCACCATGTTTCCTGACCTTCTGTTTACAGGATAAAATATACACAGATCCTTTGTGTTAATGGAGCCAGCCTTGCCAGGGACCCCAAGGAAGCCACTGGCCTGATCACTAAGTAGTCTCACAACCTGCCACGTCCAGTGTCCATGTCCAGGTGTCTGATTATAGGATTCCAGCAATAAAAGCCTTGCAGCTCACAGGAGAGTGCTTACTCACTGGCCACTGGGCTTCGGGGTGGCAGGGGAGGAGGGATATGCCTACACTGGAGACCAGCAGTGTGCCTTCCAACTGCAGCTGGATTTGAATGCTGTCAGCTGTTATGACCCCACAGATTCCACAGGTGGGGGTGGGTGGGGACAATGAGAACAATCAGAGTGCTTGGTCACTTCTGTGACCAGGACCCACAGGCCATGTGCATGAGCGACTAAATTTTAGCCTCCCGGCAACCTTGAGAGCCAAAGGTAACCATTCCAGTCTTACAAATGAAGAAACTAAGGCTCAGAGAGGTTAAGTTCTAGCAAAGATGACACAGCTCCCGGGTATCAGAATCTCTGCCCCCCCCAGCCCCGCCCCGTCCACAGCTGGGGAGACAAGTTCGGCCAACACACCGGAGGACCCCACACATCTCAGAGGCCTTCTTTGGGCCTCTGCTTCCCACTTACAAAATGCAAATACTTCCAATCTCCAAGGCTGTGGTGAGGCCAAAGTGAAATCATGGGTGAGAAGGGGCCCCTGTCCTAAGGGCCTGACAGGAGAGAAGGAACAAAGGGTCAAGGTACCAATGCTGAATCTGGTCACTTCTGGTGCCTCACTTTATCCTAACGCCAACCACCCAGTTGTGGATTCAGCTGCATCCATGTAAATACACTGTAAGTTGGGTCTAATGCTCAGAGGGGACGTCCAAGGGCTGAGAGCTTCCAAGGCCACCTGCAGCTCTGCTCCATGACCGTGATTCTGGACCTTCTCAGGCCCCTCTGTCGCCCTGTCTGATTCCTCTTGGCCTGACCCCCACCACCTCTCTCATAGCTTCATCACAACTGGAGCTCCCCCCGAGAAGTCTGCTGGCGCACACCACAGGGCTCTGCACGGCGGAGGGGGGCGGCCATCTCTACAATCTTCACAGTGAGGAGGTTAGGAAAGGTCCCCAGAGGTGAGCCAGGGCCGCTGTTTCTCTCTGGGGGTGGCAGGGGATGGCCACCTTGCCCAGAGTGAGACCTGGCTCTAGGTCTATGCCCCCCAACTCCGCCTTCCTCAGGGTCTGGCTGAGGGCTCTTCTGAAATGGAGCGCTGCCTCTGAGGGCACTAAGTGGAGTTTAGGGGGTACAAGCAGGGCGTGGGGCAGGGGATTTGTATTCCATCACTCCCACGTCCTACAAATGTAAACGCCCCAGGGCTCCTGAAAGCAGAGTTGCCACTCCAGAGGAGTTGGGTGGGTCTTATCCTGTCTTGGGTAAAGACTCACCCTGCTCTGCAGTGAGTGTACAGGTGTGACAGTGATCCATCCAAAGATAAGGTGGGGACAAATGCAGGGCACTCTGTCCTCACCGGGACACAATCTATATCTGGGCTGTTGCTCAGCTCCCACAGAACTCTGTAGGGGCTGCTGGGGAGACCCCTCAATATTGTCCCCATGCTCCCTCCCGTCTCACTGCCCTCCTCCAACCTACAGAATCGTTATCTAATCTGGGGTTCAGGGAAAAGTCAGAATCAGGTGTTCTCCCAAATCTTTTTCCGTCTAACATTCAAACCTCAAATAGTTCAGAAGCTAAATGTCAAAAACCTGTGGCTTTTGATCTCTGACTCTTACACACATTTGCCTCTGAGATCATAGAAGCCCCACCTTGTTTCCGCCTACCTTGACCTGAATTCACCCACAACTGTGTGGATGATCCCCCACCAGCAGACGTCTCCGCTCCTCACACACTTGCATCTGTTCCCTGTGTGGTGGCTTTCTCCAGCACCAGGGAGCCCGCTGAACCGTTGTCAGGCTCACTCCAGAAGTGTGGGGGAAACCCTCAAACACTACAGCCTCCTTGACTCCTGGCCGGTCTATTTTGAGGTGAGGTTCTACACAATCTCTGAAACGTGCCCAGTGGCCTTGAGCCCCGGCTGCCCACCTACCCAGCTTTTCCCACTTGCCTGTTTCACTTTCCTTAGTTCCTTACTTGAGCACCTGAGATCACCTCCCAAATAAACTGCCTGCCCCCAAGTCCCTGTGTCTGGGTCTCCTTTGATGGGAACACAAACTATCATAGCGACCCATGTCCATCTGCCTGATCAGGAAGGACAGGGATTCATGCAGAGGAGGCCCAGTGAAGGAAGCAGGAGGAAGGGAGTGCGATACCCCAGCTGATCCTTCAGAGGCAGCACCCACTCTACGCAGACAACAAGGAACCCTGGCAGGAAAGGAAGGTGCCCTCTTGCCATGTATTTCTCCAGGGACTTCGCACTGTGCAATTCCCACACCGACCTGACAAGGATGTTTTGGGGCGCACCCTCAATTCCAGCCCACGGGAATCCACTGAGGGATTCCAGGCAGAAGTACACATTGCTCCACTGATCGAGACCTGGGAGCCAGAAAGAGAAAGAGAGATGGGAGCAAACTCTGGTGCCAGGACAGAGGCAGCAGGACCAAGACAAGCCCCAGCAGAGAAAAGCCCTACATTTTAGCACACAGCAGTGGACAGGGCTAGCCCCCATGACTGCAGTGAAGAGCTGCATTGATAAATGCATTGCACTTCAATCTTAGCTGCAAGTTACCCTTTAATTCCTTTTTTTATAATTATTACATAGAATTGACTACTGTTTCACAACTATGACATATCTATACTCATCCTTAGGCTAGCTGTGCTGATGGGCTCAGGACTCAGGAAAACTAGCCAGGGCTTCACACCCAGAACGGAAGGGGTCCACTTGTAAGAGGCAGTGTTCTTTTATGTGCTCCAAGAGGGTCTTCCCCAGGACACACAGTATTTAGCAGATCCTGAGAGGTGCTCAGCAGAGGAAATAGTTGAATGAGACAGAAACACATGCCCTGATGAGACAGCATTAAACATGCATGCAGATTCATCATCACCGTTCTTGGATTATTCACGTAATTGCAAACTCACCTCCTGGCTAGACAAACAGACCCCACTTTTGAAGCCTACAGAGATGCACACAGCCCCCTGCCTGGGCAGCAGGGGCACAGACACTGGCCTGGGCCAACACAGCATCGTCAGATGAAGAAGCCCTGCTCACCATAGCAGGGCAAACGCAGACTCACATCACCACTCTTTCCATAACAAAGCCAGCTTTGACCAGACACACAGGATGGGCACCGACACAGGAGAACCTTACACGCTCAGTCCATGAGGGATAGGCCCATCCTACATGCTTTCAGGAGAAACACAGAAGGAATGATAATAAATCAGAGAGATATCGAAATCATTTAGGTCTAGCTGTCTGAGTGAAAAAAATTAGAGCAAGGCCCAAGATGACTGGGGAAGCCTCAATCTAAGAGTGACCTTACGAAGAGGCCAGGAGGAATCAGGCACGGCAGGCTCCAGGCTGATCATGAAAGTCCATGGCAACTCTGCACAGTGGCGCAGTGTGGCGCACCGCCGTGTGGTGCACAGTGTCCTCACTGCATAAGCACAGGCTTACAAAACGTCCTACCTCAAACTGAGTAAATACTTTAAAGTAGGGGGGAAAATAGTGAAAAATAAATTTCTGGTTCTCCTTCCCTTCTCAAATGCCATGAAAATTAGAGTAAAGGAATTTAAAAATACAAGTCCACAAGGACAAAGAGAACCATACAGGGGGTTATCACCAGATGACTGAATGTAACACTTTAGAAGACCGAAAGCAGAAAAAGATGTGGTGACTGTAGGCAGCGAAAGCCACATCTAATAAATAAGACAGAGCCAATTTTTCCTATATTATTCCAGAGAGATTTGGATTTCATAGGCACTAGGCAATGCAGTGGGTAAGAATAATAAAGCTGCAGAACTGAAAAGAGGCAAGTGATGTGAAATTTCCGTGTGGAACCACTGAAATCTTTAATCTCCCAAGATCAGGGACCCTGGAGTCATACTTTATGGGTCCAAAATTGTTTGCACTCAAAACCAGTCATTTGAATGGTAGCACTGTAAGTTATAAAGTAACAAAGGAGTGTCTTCAAATTGTTAAGGAAAATTATTTCCAACTTAGAATTCCATCTCTAACAAACTATCCATTCAAATCCATAAAATTCACTTTCCTTGCATCATTTCTCAGGAATCTACAAGAGGATGTACTTCACCAAAATAATAGAAGAGACCAAGAAATGAGAAGACTTCAGAATTGCCAAGATTCTGCTGAAGGGAAATCCAAGAACAAACACTGCATCAGGAATGGAAAGCCATCAGTTCGGATTGGAGTCCAGCAGGATGGGAGACTCCAGGAGATAACTCTCTAGGAAGAGAAAAGGTAGATCAATAGATTGCTTTATGTTTTACATTCAATCATATGAAGAAGAGTTTTGATTTCCCCTGAAAGGGTCTGGAGATAATTTAGTAAAATGCAGATAATAACAAAGTATGAGCAAGTCTAATCTAACAATGTATAAAAATATATATTTTGTTTTTAAAAGTTTATTTTATTCTAAGAGTGCAAACATAGTTTAGCATTACAAAAATGTATAATTTACTGCATAAACAGACTAAAGGAGAAAAATCATGTGATCATCTCAATTGATGCAGAAAAACAGATTTCATAATACTAACTAGTTATTTATGATTTTTAAAAAAACTTAACAAAATGGGAATAAAAGAGATCTTCATAAGCATGACAAAGTGCATTTATAAAAAACCACAATGAACATCATATTTGATAGTAAAAGATTACAAGCAGTCTATTTAAAATAAGAAACAAGGTAATGATGCTTATATCATTGCTTCTACTTAATAGTATACTACGAACCAATTGAGTAAAAGAAAGTATGACATCAAGGAAGTAGAAAAGGGATAAACAATTAAGACTATCAGCCCAGAGGTGTGATCCCAGAGAACAACAGAGACCATTATCAGCACCCTCATGGCGGGGCCAGCCAGCTATGGCAGACTTTATCAGCACACTTTATGGCAGGGGACGGGGGGGAGGGTGGGAAGGAGGACACAGAAACACACATTGGCTGGGTGCTGAGTCTCAGATGGACAGGCTCTGGGCAATACTACTC